AACTGGGAAATTTTACCTCATCCACCATATTTGCCAGATATTGCTCCCAGTGATTATCATCTTTTTCGGAGTTTGCAGAATTTTTTAAAAGGAAAAACTTTTGAGGATGAGAACAATGTAAAAAAGGCTATTTCTGAATATTTTGATTCAAAACCGAAATCATTTTACAAAGACGGGATTAAAAAGCTACCATCAAGATGGCAAGAAATTGTACAAAATAATGGTGAATACATTATAGATTGAAATAAAATTTAATTAATATTTTTTGTTGCTTTTTTTGTAGATAAAAATGCGCAAGAACTTATGGACTGACCTGATAGAATAATAACTGATAATAAAAATGTAGTTTTATTTGCACTTTACCTTTGAGGATAGACGATGGTGGAGGTGTAAACTGGTGGCAGAAGAGAGGGAGAAGGGGAATGATACTAAAACTTAACTTACATAACATAATGTAACAATAACTTAAAAATAACTTAACACTAATTTTTTTTATCTTTTCTGTTTCATATATATTTTAAAATCTTTTATTGACTGCTTTTTGCTTTCTTTCCTTCACTTTCACCAGCACTTTCACTGGATAGAGGTTGCTTGGTAAAATATCTATCCAAAGAGGTTTGGCTTTGCCTACTTTTTAAAATGTTTCTAAAATGACTTAGGCAAATGTCATTAAACTGAGCAGCAATATGGCCAGTGTGAACCTTTTTGGGATGTTCCTTTTCAATAAAATCAGTCAATTTCTGATAATACCTCAAGATTTCCTTTATCGAGTGAGATCCTTTCACAACAAAGCAAACACGCGGACTAAAACCAATCATGGCGGTGGTGCTGCAAACTAATGTAATGTTGTATGGTGAGTTTTTATTCGTAACTTGGAGCAAAAATATGTTTGAATTTCATGTCATATCCTGAAAATTTCGTATGCTGAAGCATTCGTATCCTGAGGTACTACTGTACTGTATTATGGTTTTAATGATAATAGAAATATTCATTCAAACAATATATTTACCAAATATGATTCAACAAATGTTTTCTTTTCTGTTGGAATCTTCTTTGCATCCTGCAATTAAATAAAACTTATTTAATTATCTGTGGTAAAGATAACTATACACAAAATATATCATTTACAACTCATTTTTTCATAAAATAAAAAGATTATAAATATAAATGGCATCTTTATTAATCAGTTAATGATAAAAATTTTATAAAACTACAATTTCTTTCTTTGAAATTTTTTCAAAACATTGCTTTCCTATGGTTATTAATTAAAATAATATAAGAAAGCTTTTGTTTCTATTTATAGCCCTATTATTATTATTTACAATTAACAATTATCACTTCTGTGGAAACTGTCATTATTCCAATAAAATATATAACATTTTTGCCTTTATTTTCTGAACATTAAGAATTTTGCCCTGCTTCTTTTAAGTGTTGTAGAACTTGCATTTTACAACTCCACTTTCATAACTGAATTATTAATATTGTATTATGGCTGTAACAAATGCCATACTTTTTTATAAGTTATTACCATACAAAGATGATAAGATTCAAACTTCTATCGACAGAATGCAATTTCAATTTGCAATACTGAAATTACAGAAGACAGAATGGAATACATGACAACTGTTTTCTAGGAACCAAGTAAGTCATAAAAACAAATATTAACAACCTAATAAATTTCTCCTTTCATTATATCTTAATGAATACAATCATATTTTAATCTATTATTTTACAGTATTTACATAGTATGTAAAGATTTATGCCATTTTTATGTTTACAGTTTTGCAAGTGACAGATGAGACTGAAAATAGTTGAAAGAGTAACCAGAATTTTTTAAAAAAGTAAAAGTAATACCAAAAAGTAACCATATAGTATACAACAGGTAAATCCAATACACTTAACACCTATATAGCAGGTAACTGTTATTATTGGATTATCATATCTACAACTAAAGCTTGTATGAATGAGATAAAAATTACTTTAGTAACCATTTTAGACATCATACCATCAACAAGTTATTTAGACCATATCACTTTTTCAAGACAAATATAACAAGTCCAGATTGAGTAAGATATCCATATTTTAAAAAGAGTATNAAAATCAAAATAATATAATAAAATTTTTACAATAATTTTTGCCAAAAAATAAACATTAATAATTATATACTGAACTAAATAATGGATCATTACCATTTTGAGGAGAGTTACTCAAAGAATCATTTTCTTTAATGACTGGTGAACTGAAAGTGAAGCACATTTCCTTCTGCAAAAAATTAAATGCTTACCAATGAACAAAAATTATATTTAACACATTAAAAGTGATTATAAAATTACAAATATATGGCAAATAATATTTGACTTTCTACTTTACCAAATTAGAGACCTGAGGTGGAGAAGGAGCATTATGTTGAATGGGTGATGAAAATTTAAACTGAATCTCATTATTTTCTTTGGACTGGTTGCATTCTCCTGATGCTTTAGACACAGTATTGAAATTAAAAGTGGGTAATTGATCAATAGGTAAAGGTATATTTGGAAGATCTGGAACTTCCACAACCTGAAAATGTTTATATATCATTGTATCATTTTCTCTAATTTCATATTATCATACAGAAAGTTTTTTGTAAAAACTTTCAGATAAATAGCCAATAAGTTGATTGTGAACATATACAAGTTGTTTCAAAAATCAAATTATTCAGTCATATAAATAAAAATGAAAAAGTAAATAAAGCAACATGACTGAAGACTTTGGACCACCCTATTTATATAGATCAGGAACAGTAGTAAGATTTGGCAGAACTATTTCCTAAAATATTTTAGTTCAGCAAACCAATTGTTAAAATTATAATATTTACTTAAACAACTTAGCACAACAATCTGCACTTTCACAAGAATGCCAACTTTTTAACAGCTTAATGTGGACTGGAGCAGAATGAAAGACAAATACTGTACTATGCAATAGAGCAATAAGTCCAAGTGAGAACTTGTTTCTGTTCATTGATCTGTGATCATCTATCACAATCAAACATCAGATGTTTTCTGCTCAACTTGTGGGTAAGAAGTGATAAGCTCTAGGCACAAATTGGATCTGAGAAATGTGAAATAATAAATATGTTTCTAGGATGATTTTGAATATCAATATTAATTTAAGATATTGATTTCTGTTGCTGGATAGTCCCAAGTAAGGATTAATAACATGGTTGATGATCTTTGGATAAAAGCAAAGTAAACCACAGAGGAAAACACCAATCAAAAGGCAGTATGAAAATATGAAAAAATAATGTAAGGCCCAGAACATACCCATAAATATTCTTTTTTATATTTCAAATGTTAGTAAAGTGAACCAGTTAAATTATTTGAATCCCACCATTGATCAAGAGTGAGCAATTTTTTTAAATAGCAATGCAAATAAAATGTCTGTAAAGTACAAATGGCCAAATTTTTTACTTTCCACACAATTTATTAAAAAATGTTTATGGTTATTAAAACAATGTATAATGAAAAAATTGTCATAAACAGTTTTGTATATTTATTGTAATATTTATACATACTTCTATATATAAATTGATGATTTTATTAATAATAAAAATGAAATACGAGTTCAAGATATTCCATTTATATTTATATAGAAAACAATTGTGGGCTACATTATACACATTAACAGCAAGAGTTGGCCCATGGCCCACAAACGAAATGTTATGGTGTGTTCTGATAGTACTAATCTAATCAATAGCTAGTAATGGATTTTTTTCTATCAAAATATATAAACAACAGAGCAAAAATATCTGACATTATTTATCCAAATCATACAAGTAGCAAAATGCATCTATTGTAAGATATTTTTTTAATTATGATTTTTGATATTACCTCATTCATATTTGCTTTCTTTGAACAATGAAGGGCTGTATTTGTCCTTGCTCTAATCTTTCCTGTGGTCTTGATGGGCATGCTACAATAAATATAAAAGTGTATATAGAATAAATAAATAAAAACTCATACAATATTAACAAGATTCATTTAAACACAAACTATTTGTAAAATACAATACCTTAAATTCAAGAAACTAGTTACATAATTAAATCACTAATATGTTTTAACTGGATTGTATCTGAAGCAAATGGATAACAATCAGTAAAATTTGTATCATAAATAAAATTATCTGTTCTTGAAAATAGATTAATGATTTTAAGAACTGACAAAAATTTTAATAGTTTAGACTAGTTTATTCATTCTTGTCCAACTCACACAAAACTTTCTCCTTTCTGCTAGAAAGATTCTTATTTTTAACCTTTAAGAAACATTTTTTGATCCTATTTATGAGCACTCTTTAACTTGTTCCCTTTATTTTTAGAAAATCCAATTTCAAATGCTTTTAAATTGAAATTTATATACTAAAATTAGTTAAAGTAAACATGAATAGTCATATAATAATATATTTTTACAATTAGTTTTCAATTGGCACATCTTGGTTAAAACCTCACTAGCTATAATATTGTTTCAGTGATTAGCTTTTAGGATTCACTATAAATTTGAAAATTTCATGAAATATATAAATATTTCAATTGTATAATCTAAACACATTTAAATTATAATTTAAAATTACCTTGCTGATGGAGTTATATCAGTTGATATAGTGACAGGATTAAAGATTATCTTATTTGATACCTGAAAATAGATTTTATACAAATCATCATCATTTTTGAGAAATTGTTTTAAATATATAAATTTCAGAAATAATAGCAAACGTTAGGTACTATAAACAAGAAATTACTTTATTTTATTTTGTTATAATTTTTTCCTCAATAACTAATCGTTTGCATAATTTGTTCCTTCTTAAAATCCAATAAATGGAACCTTTCTTGTTATGAAAATAAATTTTTTTCACAAAAGGAACAAGGTGATGACCAACGGGCAAAAAATTGAGCATTACCTTATTAACAATAATAAAATATCCATTAAAAACAATGAAGTAATAATTAACAAAATAAATAAATTGGCTTAATTTTCTTCAGAAATAACTACAAACAAATTGAAATGTTTTCACATTTACTTAATTTATGTGGAATGCACTGATTCTAAAGACTGGTTACTGCCAACATTTTCTTGCATCCAAAATATGAAAACATGGTTTGTCATTAATTCATAATGCACTAAAATGTGACTTGCAGGTTATTCTGAGCATGAGTAAGAACATTCGTTTCTTTCAAGAGTGGTAAAACATGATCTAGCATATGATTCTAATGTTCTCGTTGTTTTGTTGCTGTGAGGAGCAAAATTATGAACGATTATATTTTCTGTGATGCAATTGCATCTTAGCAAATCAAAGTCACCAGCAAGTTGTGAGATTGATCAAATGAGGCAAATTCATGCATATTGTAGTTTGAAATGACAAAACGTTATGGTAGTTGTATGAAAGTAAACCAGCCTTCGGTCTTACTTCACTCTTTTTTCTTATACAATTGCTTTTAATTTATAGAAAAAATATAAGATGATAATAATAAATTGTGTAAAATCAAATTAAAATTCTAATTCTGAAAAACTTTTTTTCATTATCATAATTACTTGTCTTATATAAATGGTTCTAATTAAATTAAAATTACCTGATCTGACGAAATTCTAGAATCAAAATTTTTGCAGATCATAGGTGATGAAGGAATGATTATACCAGAGGTTGGAGGCTTACATAATGGTAGCTAGAAAGAAATAAATTCTTAAAATAATTAATTTCTTTTATAGTTTTTTTCTTCAAAAAAGCCACTTTCAAAATTATCTTTGTAAACAATAAAAATATTCTTTACATATACAGTCGACCCCCTATAAGATATAGATACGTTCCAATTTATTAGGAATCCGATTTCTTACAAGTCGTTCCAATCACAGCCCGACACGTGTCAAGTTTACGGACTACGGCTGATTGAAAGGTTTTCTTCCATAAAATTAATTGATTCTACACTAATCCGACTCAACATTTCCAAAATACGTATATTTTTTCGTAGTTTTATAGGAATCGTAATTATAGGGACCG